CTCTGCAGACTGCCTATTGGACTCAGGCGTATGGTAATGGATCCACGTTTCATCCATCGTCACAAAACGTCGAAAGAAGTCCGCTCGATTACGCTGCAACAACGCCAAACCGGCCGTTGAATCATCAACGCGCTGCTGTGTTTGATCGACGGTCAGCAAACGCGGCACCCATCGCGCCGATAGCTTTTTCATCTCCAAAAGATCGTGCAAAATGTATCCCGCCCATTCTTTTGAGATGCCCACGGCCTCAGCTAACTCGTGCAACTTCACTTTACGATCACTCAAACGATTCGATGCACTTGTTTTACGATTTCCGCATTCGTAGCCTCTTTTGGCCTTCCAGAGCGAGGTGCGTCTTCGGTGTTTGTACGATCCATTTTAAATTCACTAAACCACCGATAAACTGTTATTCTCGAAGGAGCAGATGTCGGATAACATTTCTGCAACCATCGCAATGATTGTTCAGAAGTTTTTCCCATCAAAAAACAATGTTTAATCAAGATGCGATATTCCTGTTCTTCCATTTTTTTTTACGAAGGCGAAAGTAGCGATACTCAAACGACTGTAGCTTGTAAACGAATGGACGAAATGTCATGAAACTTCATACATAAACTAGTGACAGATGAACCTCTCGAAATGAGTCATGTTCATTTTCTAGTGACGCCACCTGTTGAAAAATCCCGGGACTTTTCAGCCCATGTAGTAGCGCGTACAAAAAGCACTCAACAAAATGAATTCATTACGATTTGATCAAAGTGTTAGCCATTCGACACTTGACATAAATTTCGTTTCGAGTTCTGTATAACATACTTGCCCAATGAAGTACAACCTCCAAACTATTTTGTTTAGGCTATTATCTTTTCTATCTCAACGTCATAGCAAATCTCGGCTCTTATACGCTCACCGAATAAATATTTGAGATGAAATATCGGCGTCCATCATTATAAAGTAAACTTGCCTCGCCAATGGTTCCAGCCATTTGATATTTATAACGTCTGGGATTCTGATATTTATCTTTTCCGTTATCAGCTCGATAACAGCAGATATTATGATGTGCGATCTCTATGTGTCATCAAATGAAGTCTCTTACAATCCCACTGTTCATACTTTTGCGATTTATGATTTGAGAAAGTGAAATAAATTTGCCCCTCGTGTCTCATCGTCGATACCGTAGAAGGCGCATTTGTGGTTTTCATGTGATTTATTTAACGCGTGCGGTTGCATATGTGTAATCAGAATGTGCGTGTGTGATTTCTTTCTCTCGGTATATCTCTAAGGAGCCCGTATACGTTGCTTCGCACATATTTGCGACGTACACGTTGAGAACGTACGTATATATAGATTTATATATACATATATATTTCGATATATATATATACCTATAGTTGTCTAGCACAGCTGTAAAGACCCTTATTCGCTAAAGAGACAAAAATTGATGATTCTTAAACGTACGTATTATTTATTTTTCATATAATATATATATATATCTATCTATATATATATTTTCATATATAATATATATATATATCTATCTATATATATATTTTCATATATATATATTTCTTCATCTATTCATTTATTTTATATATCGAATTATTTAAACGAACTTTGACCGACGAGAAAATCGTTCCCTCACGTCCTGTGGCCACGTCAAGGCCGCGTGAAAGGATTCCGATGAACAACCGATATAATTACTATGATTAGTACGTAATAAAATTTTCCCTCTCCCCCTCGTCTCAATCGTTCTCTGACATCCACAATATGACACAATAACTTATCACTAGGACGATTCGTCCGGTCGTCTACCCGATTTTGCTCGAAGACGTCGTTCGATTACACCGGCGCGGCGCGATCTTCCTCAGATAGAGATTCTAGAATTTCTCTCTCGCCCACTTCCGGTATGGAGTTTCCGGAGAGAGGACGCACGCGTCGCCACTCGCAGCTCAGCGCGAGTGGCGCACGTGCCGATGTTCCCCAAGATCGAATTTCTGTCTCAAGGCCGACGTCGATCTTGGCCGAGTTCCCAGTCACGCTCGATTCAAAGTCGACCGGCGCAGAGGTCCGTGGGGAGGGTTGCGCACGTCTTCGCACCCCGAGGCGAAGCTCGAGGACAGAATCTCACCTTCGCTTTTCCCTCCCCCTCCGTCCCTGTCCTCCTATATCATCCTCCTCTCTTTGGAAGCCGGGTGAACGACCGGCGAAAACGAAAGAGCATCTTAACTACAAGAAAACCGTCGTTTTATATATATCAACTTACTATTTATCGATGATTCAAACCTTTTCTTCTCAAGTAATGACTCTACACTAAACTCTATTCATAATTCAACCATTCGTAACCTCTCTACTCCATCACGGAGACTCAACCCTCTTTCCCTCCCTCCCACCCTCCCATCAACCCTGTCCTCCTAGACCCATACAAACGTACCACGCGAACGCCATTCGGATTATATATAAAATTCACAAACGCGGGATATATCGATTATTTAGTAAACCTTCGGGTAGTGAGGAAGGCAGGTGTCTGGTCGATAATACCGCTATATCTCGAAAGAACGGTAAAGTCATCGACAGGATCGCTACCCTCTCGCTGGTACCCCAGTCGTCCATATAAAAAACACTGATATACAAAACGTTCACTAGATCGACACTGAACGTTGGTGAACGGCGCGACGAGAAGAAATTCATGCGTACGAGAAACGCACGAAATGCTGCAATCGTGTCGGTTCGTGTAAAGCGCGAATAGCTTTGTACTGCTTATCGTTAGCCTGAATGTCTGCGAAATTTTAGAGTAACAGCGAAATTCCCAATGTTCGAGAAGAATTATTCGCGCTTGAATTATTGGCGGATTATCTTTCGATTATTGTGCACATAGGTTTCCGGAAGGTTAAACATTCGGAATCACTGGTATGCTTATGTGAGGCTTCAGACTAACAGTTGTCGACGTTATGAAAGACCATAGCGTGTCCATTTGCTGGATATGACTAGTTTCCTGAGATACAGGACATTCGTAATTCGTAAAGTCAAACTCGCCTTTAAAAAAAACATTGAAAAAACGATTTTGCAATGATATCTAAAAATTTTAATAAATACAGACCTGAAAACGATTTTATTGGATTGTCAAAATAATTATGTAGAAAACTCAAACACGATGAGTAATGCTACACAAAAAGTTTAGACATTCTCGCAATCAGTTTGAGCGTCTTACATAATTATTTTATGATGATGCAAGAAAATTATTTTTAAATCTATATCTATTATAGCTAGAGCTATGTTTTTAGATATTTCAGCAAAACCGTCCTTTCCGTGAAATAACACGGAATTTTAACAAAGTTAAATCTTCCTCTCTTTTCATTTATGTTATGTCATTATTGCTGTTTCGTTTTTCAACTGAATTGTCACAAATACTCTTCATTCTTTTACTGCATTTCGGCATCAATTAGCATAATGACGTACCGGTCAGTCTGATCAAAAAGATATCACAGTGTTGTGCTCTGCGTGGAGCATGTCGTATAAGGAATTCCGCGAAGCGTCAAACTTTCCGACAATCTTCTGCGTATATCGTCTTTCAAAGATTGTCGTTTCTATCAAAAGATATGACACTGAGAATCACCGGGGGATATATTTGCCTGAATGCCATAACCTTTCGGAAATCCTACTCTTCCACGATAATCCTTGGAAAATAGCGCTTTCCAGCTTGTATCTTTGTACAATATATTTTTTATGTCGGATCTTCGTGAATCGGGCTAACGTTGGACGATTTTACAGCGCAATGGGTCGCAGCAGCGAGATCTTGCCGATAGTTTCTCGTCCCGCGGTTCCACCCACGTTGTTGGTGAAAATAGCAAAAGTACAAAATCGCTATAGTAATTATCCGAATAAAAAATATTAGCCTAATGTAACATTAACCTTATCAACTACGGAGCTAAGTGCGCCGTCGTGCGTCGACGTACGATCGATGATAAACACTTGCTGTCCTCTTAGAAAAAAAGCAGCAGCTTGCTACGGCACCGTCAGTAGTGAAAAAGGTATCCTTTTTCCCTTCCCTTCTCGCGACGATTCTTTTTGTCTGCCGTAAGTTCATCGCTTCTCTATGTTCCGAGGATCCTCCGATACCATACCAGTTCGACTCGAAATCCGAATCCGACTGGGATGTTTGTCTCCACATGTAATCGCGCACGAAAAATTATGGTAAAAGAAAAAACTAAGGTACTCTCCAATATTCTCGGCTTCGCCCCTAATCTACGCCTGCTGCTGACACGTCAACACGGTCAGCCATTGCCAAAAATTGCCTAAATTCTCTGTAGAAAGGCTCCTACGGTCACTACTGTTTTTCCTCATTTTCAATGAAATACTTTAATTTTACTTATTGACATTGAGATATTTTATATATTTATTGGTTCTAAATTATTAATAAACTTATATATATATATATACAGAATTATTATTCCATATTATTACATATTTTCATCATTTTTCATTAACAATATATAACAAAATCAAGTACATTAAAGTAGAAAAATGTAAGGTACGTTTTATATCTAAAAGGACGTTTCGCACTTTAATATTCTCAAAATTTCCAAATTTGAAGATTCTTCAATTTTCTATCATCGATGCATTTAATAAATGCGAGTAAAATTGAAAAATAGCCGAGAAAGTGCGTTTAGGAAAATTTCGTAAACACGAGGAGCCTTTTGTGATTCTATTTATTACGAATCCACGCAATGAAATAATTCTCGTGATCGCGTCAATCCGTGCAAAGCTACGATAAATAATAACCGCGTAAATAACTTTGAAACTATATTGATCCTCTCAGTTCCTTTCTCGTTTTTGTTTGCGACAGGAACTCACAGGAGCGAGTAATAGCGCATGTCGCTGATTCTTATTAAAAATTGAAAGCAGTAGGGAGTACAGGCGACACATGCATCTATCATACACGCCTCATAAGTCATCATTAATGAAAATTTCTCGTACACGCTCCCGATCGTACGAGGAACTTGAAACGGCTCGAAAGTGGCTGTCGCGTTAATTTTGAAAAGAATGTTTCACTTACCTTGAAAAATGTGCAAATGTGGTTTCTTTTATAAAGGCCAATTTTGTGTCTCACGTTTCGACAAACTTCGTATAAAAGAGCAAAGGAAATGTTTAAAACAGCGGTACTTCCATTTTCTAGATCCAGACTTCATCTCATTTTGAAAAGCGATAATTGAGCCCATTTCGATGCTTCCAACGTCGCTCGAAATTTTTATCGCATGTGCTGCGAAAAAGAAATTCAAGTTCCTTTCACCATCGATCGAGCAGCCGTACTTGCGCTTTTTAATCAGCATTGTCAAAAGTGGCGAATTCGATAAAGGTCAGATAAAGAACGACGAAGATACGAATTGAAAAACGAAACTTGGAAAAGAAGGAAGAAAGATAGAGGAAATATTAAAACGCTGCTTTTGCTTGGCAATTGCTCATTTGGCACTCTGAGAAAACGTACGATCGAGACGAAACAATCGGAGAAGGACTCAAACGCGATCGTCCTTGCCTCCGGCACTAAACGCGCGAGAAATTATTAATTAATGCGGGAGTTTAATTCATCGCGCACAGGAAACGGCGTCAGGTGTCTGATTCGCCAATGTTGGTTGTCCAAGGAAGATTTTCTCAAAGTGATAATACATCCCCAAAGCGCTGTTGCGCATTTTCCTGTGCATTATTTTTTAATTTTTTTTATTTTTTTTATTTCTCACCCCCCTATTTTCTTATCTCACTCTTCTTCGATTCTTCAATGAGTGAACGAAACTGCGTGACTACTTCAAAAATTAATTAATGAATATAATTTTATTCCTTGTATTATTTATTTTTTATAACACGTAAAAAAGAAAAGAAAAAATTGCGCCTATTAGACCATATAACCACTATATACTTTTTTGTCCCTCTAATCATGATATCTTTTTCCGTAGAGAATCATACAAATAACTAAAAATGTTATGTATAAAAAGAAAAACTTGAGTTTTTGAAAAAATATTTAAAAGATTACAGTTAATGTTATTTATATGCGTGTTATTTTCGTGCATTTCGAATTGATAAATATAACACTGTGCAGCAAAATAAAATTCAAACATAAATTTTCCTCAAATTTTCACGTAGAATACATTGTTAAAAAAAAATATGCGTCGCTCGTATTAAAAAATGCATACTATTGTCTCAATATTACATGGAAACAAAACGATACTTTTTAGTTTAACCCGCTACGCAAAGGCGTGAATAAGTAGTCGCGCAGCTTCACGATCCTCATCGGTGTTACGCATCACACACACGGGGCATTATATTATCTCCTAAATATACCTCCCGACATACGGATTAAGTATACTTTTTTTAAATCGAAGTAACGTAAAAAAGGTACACGATCGACTATACTACCTTGAGAACGGTGGGCGGTCTGTTTGTGGGACGGCCGCTATTGGTGGACAGCAACGACCAGCATCGCCAGAAAAAAAGGAGGTTCTCTCTTCCTCTTCAAACACACTTGTTTCTCTCCCACTTAATATATTATATACACTGGCTACTTCGGACGATCACGACTTTCCGCGAGAATCGTCCTATACACTCGAGTGAGCGATGACGGGACGATCGGAGAAATGAGAGCCGTGCACTTTCGTCTAGATGAAAAAACCGTGTGTACACAGCACGAGCGGTAGTATCAAACAATTGGTTTCTTCTTTCAATGAGTTTACTTTTATCTTTACGACCGGCGCGAATTTCGTCCGTTCTTTAGCAACGCTCCTGTCCCGAATCGCGGAAAGTCGCGACGTGCGCCCGATCGAATCAACGTTGAAAACCCATCGAATGAGTCGTAGATCCTTAAACAAAATCAACATGGCCGCCATAAACGTATAAACTAATAAAATGTAAAAAAAACAACGTGTTCTCGATTATCTAAGTAACAAACGATAGTTATTTCTTCTTTCTTTCCCTCCCAATCTTTCCTAGAAAGTAGCCTTTTTCTTTTTTTTTTTCCTTTATACACGTTTACAATAAAGAGAATCGACCTTTCCGTGTCTAATATCGTTTCTCTCCGCCTAAATTTATTTCATGTATTTATTTTTCTTTAAAGTAATTTCAACTATATTATGAAACGGGAGACGGCGAAGCTGTCACACTTGTCACCCGAAGTTTCCGAAAGAAACCGTCCAAGAGATGTGATTCAGCTCGTAGTCCAAAACTTTTGTGCATAAATGATGAAACACACAGATTTCTCCAACAAAAAAAAATTTTACTAGTTAAAACTCACCTATATCAGAGAACTACGTCCGTGTAATGACACAATTGTCAAAACGTAGTGTATACTAATAAAAAAATTAATTACCGTTTATTACAGCAAAACGCACGATAAATGCCTTAAGAAACTTAAAGAGTAACGTTATGGGGAAAATAAAGCATACTAATTTTGCAAGTCTCGCCTCGCGCATCGTCAAACGAAACGTCAATAATTCGACGTCTCCCGCTTAAGATCAATCTAGACAAACAAATCTACAATTGACGTTAAAAAGAAACATCTTAAATTTTAGTATTATGGGAACGCGCCAAGGGGCTCGCGCGTACCGTCATCGCATACAGAATAGATTGCTAAAAAAAAAAAAAGATTCCTAAGGAATTACGAAGAAACAACATCAGCTGTCGACCGAAATAAAAGCGTTTGGCGAGTTAATAGGAATTAATACATCGGTGGATCCGGCCGACAGCACGCGCCAGGAAAGATCGCGGCCCCCATGCGCGTTCGCCATCGTCAAGTCTCCTAGAAGGTCGCGAGGGGAGGATTCTAGAGCACGGTCGTACGGAACAGGGAGATTGACTTGTAAAAGAGAGGATACAAGTCAGCCGCGGTCGTGCGCATACGGCGGCGGTTTGCTAAGTTCTCTAATGGTTACGGCCACTGGCTGTAGAGCTGAAACTGCTCGCGAGTGAAGCAGGCCGAGAGCGGTTTCACAAAGTGGGCGTCGACCGTCCTGCAGTGTGGGCAGCCAAAGACGCGGCTGTAGTCCGAGTAGAAGTTCAGTCGCTGATGAGGGTGGATCAGGGGTTTCTGGCAGCTGTTGCACTGGAACGAAAATGGAACGAAAATGGACGGTGCGTTCATTTCGTGATGTGTTCCCTTCGTTGCGGGCGGGCATGACGAATCGGCGCAATAGAACGAGCATACAGCTTGATCGTCTAATTCGTCACGTATTGTAAGTTCGTATTATATTATATCACAAACTACACAATAGTCTATCTCGAAATCAATTTGAAAAAAAGAAAAAAGAAAGTGGTAAAATAAATATCAGTATAATACTGTCGTAATTCACATTAATATTAAATTGAGAGAAGTAAATAAGTGTAAAATAAGCGAGAGATAATTTAAAGAGTCTTCTATTCCGCGCGAATAATCATGACTGTATAGATATTATGGTGTTGAAATAAAAAAAAATTTTTTTACACAAATACGAGAGCACTCTACTCGCGATGCTGTATTAACACTCACGTGTTTAAAGGGTCAAAGTTCTGGGTCAAAGACTGGGTCGACTAGTCACGAATTTAGAGCTTACCTTGAGTCGCTCGCTGCAGCAGGGCATTGCAGCGAAGATATCGTAGCTGTACATGGTTCCGAGAACCAAGCTCGAGCCATCCCACGGCTGGGTACAGAAACGACAGCGTACAGGCTGCCCGCCGCTGCCCTCCAAACAACTCATGCACACAGCTGACAAAAATTGTGTGCGACCTTCGACCTTCACCTGGAATAAAATATCAAAAAACCGGACGTGCTATTGAAATCTTGCACACGGAAAGAACGATTTTGCTCAAGTAACTAAAAATTTCGCTCGATACAGACTGAAAATAATTTGGTTGAACCATCAAATTAATTATGTAGGAATTTGTAACATCCTAAAAAATGCTACAAAAATTTTGATATTATAGCAATTATAATAGTTTGAACGTTCCACCTAATTACGTGGCCCAACAAAATTATTTTCAAATCTGTTATCTAGTTAAATTTTTAGATACTTCAGTAAAATCGTTCTGTCCACGCAGACCATAAGAATATTGCAGTTAGATCACGAGCAAAAAATGCGATAAAACATAAATTGTAATTTTAGTGTTTCGCACAGTTTCGCTTGTAAATTTGTAATTAAATTGTTAATCAGTGTGCAGAAGTAATTTATACATGTCACAGACAGATACTGTGTATCTACTACGTTTTATTAAGGCATTATTGAAATGTTTTCCAAACATTCGACGTAAAAACGAAGTGTACTAAATTATATATCGATTAATTCTTCTTAATTAAATTGCTTTGAGATAGTTTCATTTGTGAATAAAGTACTAAACTCATTAACATTTTTGTTACTTAATTAAATATTTGTCTTATTTTTTCGAAAAGAAAATCGATACTCGTAAAATTTTAGTGGGAAACATACCTCAGCGCAAGCAGGCGAATGTTGTCTGGGTGACAAGAAGAATGTGCCGTCCACCAACGGATACCTGTCGAAAACCAGCATGGCAGCGCGACAAAGGACACATGTAACTCGAGACCACTGCAGAGCGGCCAATGTCGATAGAATGAAGCATCTGGTGTCGTCGTTGCCGTGGTTGCCCTCGTCTTCCATCTGAAAACAAACCGTTAACGAACACATCGTTACATTATGTGCGCAATCGTGTTGAATAAAACATATAATATATAAAAATAAGAGAGACTGTTCGTACTAGTAATAACTCGTGATTTTATTTTTCTCTACAATTTACGAGGAAAATAAAAGAAATATCAAAGAGAAGAATGAATTTTTCTTTCAAACTTATTACAAGTTTATATTTGAAAATCCGATGGGAAATATCCCTGGTAGGTATCCTATCATGTCGGGCAGAAAAGTCGAAGTTACTTTGAGCGGAAACGTTAGTCGATAACGACATCTCTTATCCCTTCGTTCGATCTCGTTTCCCGTTTACTTGCGAGAATGACAATAATTTGAATGCAGAATTCCCCATCCGATAACTCTTACGCGCGAAGTAATAACGTCGGCATCAACAAAGCTCATGCCCGCCCTACTCGTTAAACCAGTTTCTGTGGGACGTTAGCCCTCGAGAGAAGAAAAGTACACGGGCCTTGATACCACTGCTGTAAAAAGACCGAAGGCGACGGAGCGAGGGTGGAAGGTCGGAGGATGCAACGTGGCGTGGGTCTCGATAGTGGATAAACTAAGAAGGCGGTGACTGAGAGACGCCATAAAGATTTTTCGTTACGAGCGAGAGGGGAATAGATGGAGCTGGATGGAAAAAGGATGCACTGGCGAAACGCATTTCTGGATCAGGGCACTAACGGACGAAGAAGCATGGAAGCCCGGAAGCCCCGCGATGGAAGTTTTGGAAAACGCGCACTAGAGGTTCTCGTAACCGACGAAGGGAAAAGGGCAACGAGATACGCAACGAGGTATTTTCAAAAAATCCGTCAGTGAATCTTAATAGTGTCTTGAAAAAAGTCTGTTGAAACAGACTCCTTCCGAGCTGGAGGTGGAATGAAAGAGCTGGCACGAGACGACAGTTGTACCGTAGTAAAGAAAGGTTTTAATAACAAACTGAAGAAGAGGACAAAAATGGTAGTGAAAGAAGCACAAGCCAGAGAAACTGTAATAGAAAGGAAAATTGAAAGGTAGCCGCTTCGAAAGGGCCAGCGAAACGGCGACGAAGGAAGCGGAAACGGGTGGCTCTACCGCCGACGAGGAAAAACGTCAGCAGACGACGTTTATAACCATAGTAAATAACCAGTTTTTCTACTTTGTGATTACAAAGAAAAAAATAGAATAAAGCAACGAAAGAATGTTTGCAAAGTTGAGAAGTAGAGACAAGAACCTTCGTGTTATTATACTATCAGATAACTTTTATAATTAATAAAGATAATATAACCATTTTAAAGTTGGTTCTTCATTTTCTGGTTAACTTATGGTTTAAACTGATCTCACTTAAACCGATGGTAATATAAAAATTGTGTTTTTTTAGTTATAGTAGTATGAATATTAAAAATTATCACTATTAAATCATCGGTTTAATAATGAATCATAGCTAAAAATATTTTTACGTCATTATTAGGTCTAATTACAGATTAACTATAGAAAATAAAAAATTGGATTTAAATAAATAGTGATAGCGGCAACATTAAAGCAACAAAATTGTTAATCATTTATCAATGTATTTTATTATTTAGTTTGTATCTAAATATAGAGTGAGTATATAAGTACAGATTGAGATAAATTTTTCTTATCTCCCTATTTATTTCAGAGGTTTAGAAACACGGTTTTGTTCTCGTCGATACGTGACGTTCTGTTCATCCTCAAGATTCTTCGAAGATGAAAGTATATTTCCAGACTACGCGGAGAAGGTTTTCGAGTACTTGGAGTGACCGCTCGAGGGGCATAAGTGAAGAGCAGGGAAAGAGAATGCGAGAATAAGTGAAAGAGAAAAGAGACATGAGGGAGAAAGGAGAAAAATAACGCGGCTCCTTCGACGAATATATTCGTAGATTCGAGGAGAGAGAGGGGGGGAGGAGTCCTTGACGCATCCTCGGATGCTCGAGAGACCCATACGAGCCACGTACATCCATTTATCCGTCCATCCATCTCGCCGTGAAGACTCAACGCCAATGTCGAAGAAATAAATTGAATTGGTATGTCGCGAGTGTACGAGTCGCTTGTGTTGCCGCGTGACATACGATCCGGGTCTATGATCGAAAAGAAACACTCGAAGTTTTTACAACTTCGATTAGAGAACCCAGGATTGCGCAACGCTGATACGACACAATAAACTTCCTGCAATTTTATTGCGACTCGTAAGCCTGTCGAGTGCTAGGAAGAGCACGAAATACTTTGCGCGAAACACTAGAACTGCCTCCAAATGATAATGTGTTTGCTGGAATATTTTGCTTATGAAAGTTCGACTATATATGCAAGGCATTTTATTAAATTATAATATAATCCGTAATTATCACTGTTGACATAACAGCGCATTGTATTTATATTTGTTCTCGTATTCTATACATTTTAATTCTTTATCTGATAAAATTCATTAGCACGTTCTGTCCGTAGTCTGTACATTTCAAAACGTTTTCAGCTTCATTCTAGAAAAAAAATTCAATTTTAACAATATTTAATTCTACAAGTCTAACAACAACGGCAAAAGGTGAATGAACTCTGATAATTTCGACTAGCCTGCCTAAAAATCAAAGAGAGGAAAAGGCGCCGGGAAGCGACCGGGGTGGATCGTAAATCGTGGTGTACTGTAAAAGGACTTACACCGGCGGCGTCGCGGATTATCGGAATTCAATAATGCGGGACGATACAAATAAATGGAAAAATCTACCTTAACGTCGCCGTACGCTCGACAGTGCAAAATAATAAAGAACTGATGTTAGCAAGGCAGCGAAACCATATATTTCCCCTTATTATTACTTTGTCCAGCTTTCATCGATTGCGATATAATAAGATTCTTGAAGGAGGATTACTCGATGAAAGTAAACTGGGAAAAACTTGAAATTTCTGCACTTTATATATAATTGTACATTTTGCAATTTGTAAATTACAATTTGACTTTTCCTCTAAATGAGTAAAAATAAAGATCCAGTAGCTACAGTGGAAGTTTATTAACTAGAATTTAAAAGTGTTTAAACAGAATTGCCAGAAGTTATATCGCTTAATGATGTAATATCTGACGAAAGATATTTTATTCTTTTGATCTTGAAAATCAAATTAAAAGTCTTAATAACTTCTGTCGATGTAGAAGATCGTGAATTCAATTTGGTCTCTCTGGAGGTAAAGGAAGAGAAAGAAGGACATATTTGGTGCTAAAACCGCTTGACTTCATTTTACGTATATTGTGCCAAGGAGACGATTTTCTTTGAGTCAGAGGGAGTAAAACAGGGAGAAAGGGAGAAGGCACAGGGAATGTAGAAAAAAGGTACCGCTGGGAATTTTTTAGGGTTCCTAAGGACGCCCTTATTTAGAACCTTAGCATCAACGCGGACTCGGCCATAGGACGCAGAACGATAAAAAGCGGTATATAGGCGAACGTAAAATTCGTTACGATCGAACTTCGCCTACTTCCGCTACCATCCTAAAGAAGAAAGAGAAGTAATTACTTACAAAAGACGCGAGAAAAGATATGTGAGAGAAAAGATATTTGTGTGCAATTCTACAATTTCCACACACACATCTTATTTTATAGAATACTATAGGCTTACCTAACTTTAATGGAAAAAAAAGCTCGTCCAAATTTTATACTATTTTCTACAAAAAAAATTTGTTATATTGATGCTACATATACAAAGGATTTATACGAAAAAGAAAATGTTACATTAAAATAATAAATTTATAAAACATTAAAGTATTAAAATTTGCGATCACAAGTTTATTTTTATTTATTTTATTTGTTTGTGCATTAATTACAAAATAAAATGAAAATAAAAACGTTAAAAATTAATTCATATATACAGGCCAAAATATATATGGAGCCTCAAAAGATTCAATCTGGTTACAATCGTTTGATAATTAACATCATTAAAATTGTTTTTTATTAAGATATTTATTTTTCCAATAAAACTTCTCGCGTTGGTCGTTTATATATACATATATATATTTAACAGAGAGCCGCAAGTTCTTGCTGTCGAAGAAAACTTTATCCGACTAGTGCAGACAATTGACTCACGGAACCCGGCAACATCGTAAATTTGTTGAAGAGTGGGTGCGCTCGTTGCATTCTCAGTTAACGCGAATACGAGTCTACGAGACGAGCCCTCTTACTTTCTTTAAAAGCATCGAGCAGAGTTCAAACAGTTAAACGGTCTACGAAACGTATTTACGAGTGGCGCGATAATGTAGAAAGAAACAAGGAGAAACGTTTCTATCTTTAAATTTTCCAAGCTCGACAAATCTTCTAATTCTTCATTAACCGTATTTAGATAGTATATCAGCATATTAGTATATTTTTATTAGATAATAGTATTTCTTCAAATGTTGAGTATTTTTTATTTAGCGAGAATGTAAGCATTTTAGGTTATAATGTGATGATTAATAAGATAAAATTTATATTTAAAAAATAAAATAAAAAAGAGTCTGAATATATTTTACAAATCCAGATATTAATTTTGTTTTATTAAATGCTTACAAAGTCACAAACAATACAATATTAAAATTAATCCTGTCGTGCGAAATTAGTCGTAAATTCCTGTTTCGAATGATAAAGGCCAATCCAAGGGCTCAGAAAAGTTAAATGGAAAATAGAAAGTCGGGGCTCAGGGACAAAGGGCTTACTTAGGACTGTCCATGTATTATAGCCGGCGGAACAAAGGATTCACGAAGGATTTCCCCGCGCATCCTCTTCAACGTGGAAGGGTGTGGCGGGCCGGAGCGATAACAACTTCTCGCTGAAAGTTTCCCCGACGAGGGATATTCTCAGCTCCGTGTCGTTCTCCATGCAAGTGACCCACTGCCTTTCCAGGAAAGACGTGCCAAACAAAGAGATTCTCGTCAGGGTGCTCCTTCTAGCGTGAAAATAATCAATGGCGTCTCTCTCCCAAGACTTCGTTTCCAGAAGTCTTGCGATGATAATAGCTTTCTTTCCTTCG